CCCAAGGCTGTAGAGCAGATAATGAAGATGGCATCAACGAAATATCAGGCCATTCTCGACAAGCAGCACCAACAGCTCCAAGCACTAGGTGGAGTTGCTGATCAAACAGGAGCGCCAGTAAGTGAACTGCAGGCATTACTTGTCAATGCATGCAACAAGATCGGAATAAACCCACCGCAAGAAAGCAAATGTGGCGATCCAGATGGAGTCAGTGGCACGACAACAACTCCACCAAACACGGAGGAGACATCATCCCCGTTCCTACAACATCGTGTGGTCATGGGCCTTCAGGATCAAGAACGGAGGGTTGCTGTGCGACGGCCAACATCTACGGAAGGTATACGCAAAGTCCGTTTGCCTCCACCGCCCTCTGTTGCCCAGGAAAAGTCAAGGAGGAGAGAGGCTGCACCTCCTAAATCGATCATGAAGAGAATGACGCGTAGTGCATCCCGGGAACAATTGATAGACAATTCTTCGGGGAGTGGTGCGTTTGGGAGAATCGGACCACTTGAAACCTTCACAGCAACTCCCCCTGAAAGTGCGGGTGCTTTTTTGGAGCCAAATCCCGTGTCTCAAGAAGCTACGTCCGGCCACTTTTCAGATGCCTTTGCTTCAGGAAGACCTAACAAGCGAAAACAACCTGATGATATCGTGGATTCTCCTGTAGTTCCTCGGCGCGGGAGATACTCGAAAGGGGCCGGGGGAAAGGGTACGACCAAAGACATAACTTCTACCCCAGCTTCAGCACCGCTTCCTAACGGCTCAGATGAACGTGGAACTGGCGGAATAGTACGACCACAACGGATTTACCGAAGCCGTCACGCCATGGATAAGTTAAGCGAAGGCTCCAAGCCTTCTGAAAACGGATTGATTTCCATCAACTTCAAGCCCTCATTTGGCCTCCTACCTGAGGTCATGAACGGTGCCAACAGGTTTTTGCCACCCAGATCAGCACCGACTCGAACTTATGGCAGTAGAAGGTCCGTTGATCCTGCGGAAGACACCAGCTCGGTCAGTCAAACGAACGGCGAGTCCCAATCACGGTCTCAGTCCCAGCCACTTTCGCGATACGGGGGCGCCAATGATGAGACCCAAGACTCCATGACCCTTTCGCAGAATGCAAACAAAGAAGACGGAGATGACTTGCTTCTGCCTCCGCCTGGGAATCAGTTATGATCCATATGTCGATGCGTGGCGTATTTGTGTGGATTGGAGACTGTGTTTCGAATGAATCGAGATTCAATATGTATACGACGAGAAGAGTGTGAAAGAATCCCTGTGAGATGTTGGGAGACGGGTCTTGTGACAAATGGAAAGTTTGATTTGCACGAAAATATAGAAAGATAAGATAAACGATGTACGATGGCAAGAAAAGTCAAAGATGTCGAGCAGGTGTCACGACAGACTGTCTGATCGCGATAGAAGAGCTATCCTCACCACATAACACAAGAGAAGGGAGAGCCACTTGGCAGTGGAACTGGGTCACGCCCAGCATTGCCGACGGCCGAGGGGCGTTGTGCTTATCTCTTGACTTGTTCATTCTCTAATCAACCTGGCCCATCGGTAGAGCGAAGAAGCAACGAACCCTCCATGGTGCCAATCCATAACTCACAGGGTGATGTTATATACTGGTGGATCGGTAGTACAGTAATAATACACGACCATGGACTGGACGGAACGAGGGACCCCATCTTATTCTTGCGCCTCTCTTCTCCATGTATCCAGTCCAGTTCCGGTCCGGTCCACCCCCCTCTCCAGCTCCAGCTCCAACTCACTCGCCAGCACTGGCCATTGTCTGCTGGTGATCTGCTTGAAACACAACCCGGTCGAAATCGTAACTTGGTGTGACGTGGTAATCCGTGGAGGGGGTGCTGTAACCTTTTACTTGTCGCTGGTTCGCCGCTACGCTCTTTGGTTCCGTATCGCAGGCTCCGCGTTCTCGCTCTGGCTCAGGTTCGTTCGACGGTCGTTAGGCCGGGGCGAGTAACGATCTATGACCTGCCCTTGCGTTTCTGTTCGAGGAAGAGGACCTTGCGGCGAACTATGGTGGGGAAGCGAAAGTGTTAGTAGGTATTTTTATCCTCTTCGAGATCCGTGATTGGTAAAATTGTCTGTCGTAGGCGAGTGCTTCTTCCGTCCCCTCCTCTCTTCTCTGGTGACCGGTTGGTTGGCTGGTTGCTTTTTTTTTTTTTTTTTTTTTTTCTTTTTTTTCCGAAGGTCCGTACGTTATGCCGTCGTCCGAGTCTTTGAACTATTGCGTCCCAGACCTAATCCCAGTCCTAGTCCCAGTCCCAAGCGAGCTCCCCAAGGTCCGTTCAACGAAGCGTATTGGGGTGTTGCGAATCGTGCAAGTCGAGAAAGCCCGCAACCAAAAAGAGTTCCATATCATGCCCGTGTCGTCGTGTCCGCCGAATCAATCATGTAGGTGGTTGGAAGCGAAAGAGGTAGATAGCAATGAGGGGAGAGGATATGCGCATACCGATCGGATCGTATTTCAGCATGCTCATAGGCAGCGAGGTACGGGGACGGGTGAAGGTGTAGAAGTAACCCGTCATGGCCATAGAGATTAGGCGCACGTTGATGATGCGGGACTTGGCTGTTTGTTGTTTACCTATCAGCAACTATCGTCTTCTGTTTTCGGTTTCCGGTTTTCCCATTGTATCGCTTTTCCCTTTAGGAAAACAAAGCAGTAATTGCAGACACACGGGTGAGGATGGAGTTGATTACCCTTCTTCGCCATGTTGAACGACTTTTGTTGCGCTGTTGTGGTGTGCAACGGCGCGCGTGGACTGGACTGGATCAAGTGCGGTACGGCGACGGGCGACGGGCTGGGGCTCGTCCGGACGGAGAGGTTCGCAAACTGCGGGCGGAGGGCGGGCGGATTCACGGAGCACGGTCTTTGCGCCGGAAGCTCTCCAATCGACGTCGGGTCGTCCGCGCTTCTTGCGATTGCGATTGTAGATTTTGCCTGCCGGCCCGCCGGGGTGCGTGGGCCGTGGTGGGACCGTGTGAGGGTCGAGTGCGCTACTAGCTGGGCTTGGCAGGTGGTTGCCCGCGGCCGGGGTTTAGGATCGGTGAAGGCAAGGTGAGGAACAAGGTGAGTGTAGTGAACTGAGAGCTCACCGATGAACCCCAGAGGCCTTGGCCAAGACACAACGGGCGTGATATCTACGAACATGTCTTACAAATCTATTGACAAGGGAACATCAACAACTTTGCTGGGCTTGTACACTGAGAGACATGCATTCAAAACACAACTTTGATATTCATGTATCGGAATTTCAACATGGCGACCGTTGACAGCACTTTGGCTGTAATCATGCCCGTTCGGCCAACAATGCGCTGAAAGGGAACTGTGTAAGTCGACAAAAAGGGTAGTTCCCGCCTGGATACATGTAGACATAGTCCACTGGTCCTACACATGCCGCAGCGAGAATACAACGGCCCGGATTTAACGTCGTGGCTTGTCAGGCAGCACAGCACAGCAGCAGCTTACCTTGGCGGTTGCGAAACAGCTCAGCGATACCGCCTCGTTTGGCGGATAGCAGTCCGGGTCAGAATATGGCATTTGTTTGATTGACTCTCCATACTGTACCAAGACAGTAGTCTCGATTCGGGCCTCTGCGACCCCGCCAGAAATGGATCGCGGGAGCAAAACCGGACCGGAACGAAGACTCTTTTGCAACAAAAAGTTCTAGACCACACCGCTTTCCGTGCTCCTGTTTCGGAGCTCATTAGTTCAGTTTGGGTTGCTGCATTTGATGAAAATAAGAAAAGAAAAAAAAAGTGTGTTTGTTCTTCTGCGTGCTAATTTTTTTTTTTCCCCATTCATAGTGTCTTTGCGTCTGCTGTGTTGAATGCGGTTTGAAAACCCAACCCAACTGACATAAACCGGACTCAGCCCTAAATCACATCCCGTCCTCTCGATACTCCCGGAGCGAGTCAGCGCACCATCAACGACAAGTCCTTCTCCCGTTCACCTTTGACGGCATCTCCGGGAGTCCTGTCTTCCCCACCTGGCAGTATCGAGACCCTCCTCCCCCCATCCATCAATACACTACATCAGAAAGAGATCGACAATCGCATAGATGGCTGCCGGACTGTCAAACGCCCTCAAGACCGCCCGTCACCGGCTGCCGAGCGCGGCCGTGAGAAATTATTCAATCCCTGTCCAGCAGCCGGCGTGGGGTCCGGCGACATGCGGAGGTAAGGATCACCAAACCCTTGCCATTCGCCAAAGCGGCGCGAGTTCTCGTCCGACTCGGATCGATGTGCTATTGCGTCGCTTTCACCTTCCCGATGCTTCCCCTTGTCCCGAACTTCCCCAACTTTGTTTCCCCGCGTTTACAACCCTCTCCGTTGCAACGGTCTTGGCGCCTGCTTACACAGCAGCTGTTCATCTGCCTTCACTTTCCCATTCCCAATGTGTCTGCTGTTGCTTCGAGTTCATGATCCAAGTTGCATCCTGAGACCCCGTCCCCAGAATGTCACCTGCACATCTCCCTGTCTCCCCTTCCTCCCCACAACGGGAATCACCATCTCCGATCTCGGCAGAGACAACCACACACAACACACAGAGAGTTGCAGCCAAAATCTTCAACTCCCGAGAGCCTCGTGGCATGCAGTGCGTGCATAGTCCCCTACCTATCTACTTGATGTCGATGCCTGCTCTGAACCAATGCAATTTAGCAATGTTGCGGTTGCCTCGTCCCGTTTCATGGCAGATTACGTAGGTACCAAGAGGTACCTTGTGCGCTTAAAGCGCCTCAGGGCAATAACCTGAAGCACTTTGTTCCGGCCGCTCAAATCCCGAAGTAGTTGGTGTATTCGATCATCGGACATGTCGACACGACAGGCGAGACATGCGCTGATTCTTCTTCAATTACCCGTCTTTCATATACACACACACGCAAGAAAGAGCTACACAAGCCAACCATTTAGTGTCGGTTTCGCTCGTTTGCTTGGTCTCTCGTTTTACTCCTCTTGAGCCGGAGCTTCCCATTTGTTATCCCCTTGAGCCGGCCTTCTCTCTGTGAAATGGGTTCGCCAAAGCTGGTGAACTTGTCTTGTAAACCCCATCACAATCTCTGAAACTTGTTGTTGTTGTTGTGTTATCTAGCTGGTCCATGTACATTGCCCCTTCTGTTTCATGGGCCGGCATCAAACAAGCAATCCTTGCGCTTTCTCAAGATAACGAGAGACAAGCAAGCCACAGTACTGTACCTCTTGGACGGGGGACTGTGGGTTCCGAACTAACGAAAGTTTTCTAACGTGGGCCCCCTCTCCAGCTTCCGGCCTTGACTCCTCCTCGGGACGCGCTGCCCCGCTGTCCAAGTCTAATAATACCCCGCCGGTTATTCACTCGTTCACTCAGCAAACTCGGTTCCCGTCCTTCACTCAGATTCGCAAAATGTCGTCCTCCAACTCCCGCCGTCTCAACATTGACAACATCAACCCGCACGTCAGAGCGGCCAAGTACGCTGTGCGCGGTGAGCTTGCCGTCAAGTCCGAGGAGTTCCGGGCCGCCCTCCTCCGTGGAACCTCCGACATCCCCTTCAGCCAGGTCATCTCGGCCAACATCGGCAACCCCCAGCAGCTTGACCAGAAGCCCATCACCTTTTTCCGCCAGGTCCTCAGTCTCCTCGAGAACCCTCTGCTTCTCGAGCATGAGGACGTCCTCATCAACCACCTCGGCTACAAGACTGATGTCATTGAGCGCGCCAAGTGGTTCCTCAAGAATGTCGGCTCCGTAGGAGCTTACAGTGCCAGCAACGGCGCCCCTGCCATTCGACAGCACATTGCCGAGTTTCTCGAGAGTAAGCAGCCCTACCCGTTCGTGCCCGTGGGGTACATGTATGTCACTGTTGCTAACATCCCTTTTTTTTCCGCTTCCTAGGGCGCGATGGCTTCCCTGCCAACTGGCAAGACATCTACCTCTCTGCCGGTGCTTCTTCGGGAGTCAACACCCTCCTGCACATCATCTGCGCCGATGAGAAGAGCGGCATCCTGGTTCCCATCCCCCAGTACCCTCTCTACACCGCCTCGCTCTCCATCCTGAACGCCACCTGCGTTCCCTACCTCCTCGATGAGTCCAAGAACTGGGGCACCGACATCAACACCATCAAGGAGTCGTACCAAAAGGCCAAGGACGCCGGCGTCGACACTCGCGCCATCGTCATCATCAACCCCGGCAACCCCACCGGCGCCTCCCTCTCCGAGGAGGACATCCGCGCCGTCCTCGAGTTCGCGCGCCAGGAGCGCCTCGTCGTCCTCGCCGACGAAGTCTACCAGACCAACGTCTTCATCGGCGAGTTCATCTCGTTCAAGCGCGTGCTCCGCCAGCTGCAGAAGGAGAACCCCGACGGCAAGTACGACTGCGTCGAGCTGGCTTCCCTCCACTCCGTTTCCAAGGGCATGGTGGGCGAGTGCGGCCACCGCGGTGGCTACTTTGAGCTGGTCAACTTTGATCCCGAAGTCCAGGCTGAAATCTACAAGTTCGTCAGCATCATGCTCTGCGCGCCTGTAATTGGCCAGTGCTTGGTCGAGCTGATGGTCAACCCGCCCAAGCCTGGCGAGCCCTCCTACGAGCTCTACCAGAAGGAGTACCGCGGCATCTACGAGGGCATGAGAGAGCGCGCCAACGCCCTCCACAAGGCGTTTGAGCAGATGGAGGGCGTCGAGTGCGGTGCTCCTCAGGGTGCCATGTACCTCTTCCCTACCATCAACTTGCCCCCCAAGGCCGCCGAGGCCGCCGCCAAGGAGGGCCGCACCCCCGACGAGTTCTACTGCATGAAGCTCCTCGAGGCTACCGGCGTCTGCGTTGTTCCTGGTTCTGGGTTCGGTCAGAAGGAGGGTAGCTTGCACTTCCGCACTACCTTCCTTGCCCCTGGTACCGAGTGGGTTGGCAGCATTGTCAAGTTCCACAAGGAGTTCATGGATCAATATCGTTGAAAGGCTCACACCACTGTCAAAGTGCATTTGATTCGAAAACGGTACTTGATGAAAGGACTCTTTGCGGTTCGTCACGGTGGTGATGGGTGGGTGTCGACTGTCCTCGAAATGGATGGATGGTCTGACTATGACGCTGCGCACAAGGGGGGGCACTCGTTCATCGGTTCTGCAGCCCCTCAAGTATCAAAGCTGCCGTGGGAAAACAGGGTGTGACCCTGGAGATATCATCCCTTCTCTCCCCTGTAGAATGTCACCTGCCCTGTCCGCCCATCTACCTTGGGGATAGATATGCTGCCCATCCCAGCGTCGGGACCGGATAATGAAGTTGACAGGAAACATGGAACGGAAATAGCGAGCGATTTCTTGTTTACCAAGCAGAACTCGGAGTATGAAGGACAAAAAAAGAGCGATTTGGTTCGGCTTTTGGTATGGTTTGGTTGGTTGGTTGGTTGGTTATGGGATCTTTGATGATACCTCAGCGTTTATACTTTGCTAGCCTTTTGCATTGTACGTATGTACGTAGCCTTATTTAGGATACGAGGGACATACGAATACAAAAGTAAACAAAAAGCCTGGACAAGAAGAAACGGAGTCTTATGAACACATGATGCAATATCCGTGACAATGAGGAGCAAGTCGTTTTGTGTCTTCTGTCTTTACTAGAACCGAGTTAGGCCCTAACGACATTTCAATGTGATAGGTTGCTTCAGGCTCTATTCTCTTCTGATTTCTCTCCTCCTTTCATCCATCCACTCAATCCATGCCCTTGATCATTCATATCCCCTTCCTTTCTTCCCGAGGTAATCGCTAACGATAGCACAGCTCGCTCATACATCATTGACCTTCCCCTTGTTTCACTGCTAGCTTCTAATTCTCTTCAAATTGGTTCTCTACTACGCTCTTTCGCTTCCCCTCAACCGAACAGCCTGTCCGTACTTCTGCAGCTTGGTAATCAGCTGGTCACCCTGGCGGACCACGTCCTGATACTGCTTGTTCTTGTCGTCGGGCCGGTTGGTCTCGATAACACCCTTGCCATTGACGCGGTCGATGGTGCAGGGGATACGGCCGGCGGCGATGAACTTTGCTAGGTCACTGTTTTTGTAATGTACCATCAGCATATATAGAACTTGTGTTGGGGGAAAGCGAGAGGGGGATAATAATAACGAGGGGAAAACCAACCGATCCAAGAAATCTACCGTAACACCAAAGTCGTTGGCCATGCTATCCAGTCCCACAACGCGATAGCTCTGCAGCAGCTGCTGGTACGCGCGCAGGCGCATCTCGCGGATGAACCAGTTCTTATGCTCGTGCAGGTAGCGGTCCTGGGTGAGGAATTGCTCCTCCACCAGGGCCAGCGCCTGGAAGAAGAGCTTGTACCGGCCGTTGTACAAGCTGCTAACCAGCTGTGCGAGCGGGTCAAAGTCGACCGCCATCTCCGCCTCAGGCTGTTCCGTGCTGCTGCCGAGCGTGGTCAGGTTGACTACGGCCGTCCGGGCCGCCACGGGGGCGCTATCGGCGTCCTGCATCGAGGCGTCGGCTCCCGGGCCGGCCGAGATGGCGCCGGTCAGTGCGAGCAGCTTGTCCTCGCCGTCGCCAAGAATCGCCTTGATCTCGGGGGCGTCCACGACCTTGGACTTGAAGTCGACGCGCTTGAGCGAGACGGAACCGGCGAGCACGGCGTAGACTACCAGATTGCTGTAGGTGCAGAGCTCGTACGAGGTAAAGGTGGACAGACTGTCGAGGAGCAGGGGGGCGGCGCCGCTGTAGTTGCGCACGGTGAGCAAGTGCAGACCCTCGTAGGCCTTGAGGCGGTTGCGACGGTCCCAGTCGCCGCCCGACTCGACAAGCGACTTGGCGCGCTCGACAGTCTTCTGGACTAGCTGCTTGTCGCCAAAGAAGAGGCCGAGGCGGATTAAGGCGAGCACGAGATCGATCTTGGTACCTAGAATGCTCGTCTTCTCGAGCAGATCTTGGTGCGCGGCGATGGCTTTTTCCTGAATGGGAAGAGTGGATGCTTAGTATATGTCGGTTGGTGGGAGTGTATGGACAGCTAAGTGAACTTGTAGTGACCAACCTTATCGCCAACTCGGGCCCAGAACTCGGCCCTCTTCCCCTTGGCAGCCTGGATCTCTGTGTCTCCCGCCTTCTCGACAGCCTCATCCTCCTCTTTTTGGAACTCCTCGAGCTCCTTCTCGTTCTCGGCCTGCAGCTGCTGGTACAGGTTCTCATCCCACGGTAGGCTTAAGCTTGTGGTGGGCTTGTGGGTCGCGATCATGCCGGCGGCGATGCTGCTCTTCCTACCCAACCTTCCGGCAGCGGCAGTGTTGGAGCCGCCTTCCCCAACAGAGTTAAGGACACCCTCGGTAGGGTGCGCAAGGTATCGGTAAAAGGGCGCCATCTTGTGCTCGGTGATGGCATCTTGAAGGTTCTTGACGGCCGCTTGTTGGGCAGGGCGGGCGGCGTAGGGGTTTGTGAGGGTGAAGACATGCTGGGCGAGGGGCAGCAGAGGCCATTTCGCGTATTGAGGATCGGAGCCCATTTTGTAGTTGTGATGGGTACTAGCTTATGAGCCAAGGAGGGAGATGGGAGAGGAGGATGCAAATGGAAGACGGCCGGTGCTGGTCAGTGTCCGTCGTCTGGTAGAAGCACCCCGCTGGAAATCGGCAAGCAGCTGATGGAGGTGGATGCCGGCTTAAGATGGGAAGTTTCGCGGTGTTGAAAGCTCTTGGAAATTGGATCGCAATTTGTGACTTGGCCTGGCGCTGTGATTCTACCAAAGATGCCGGGTCGAGGTGAGGCTGGGTGGTGATGTCTGTGGTTTGTGGTGCTCCTTGAATGGTTCGGAAGGTTGATAGAGTAGCTGACCTCACTGGAGAGTGAAGTGACCAAGGCCCCCAGAGCTCGCGCGTCAGCACTGAGAAGTGGAGACAGAGCTTGGAAGGCGGGCCAGGCCTGCGAGTGGAGCCGCTGGAACAGTGCCCGGGCAGGCACACTTCATCGGCTCAAACACCGACCGACCCATGCTTGCATCCTCAAAACACTTGCATCCCGACTTCCTTTTCCAATTGCTTTCTCTCCTCGACAACAACAACAATAAGAGTTCTCAACCTCGACATACCAAATTTCGAGTCTCAGAATCCACTTTCAGGATTTGCCTGTGTCTGTGCTCGCATCAATCGATAACCATAGTCAAAATCACAACTCACACCACTCACCGTCGCATCAGTTATTCTGCTGTTACACGAACCCTGGACGCTTGCCAGAGTTGTTCTTGCCGATGATCAAGTCTCCTCGCGAGACCACATCAATATTATTCTCCAAAAATGTCAGGCTACGATGGTTACACCAGTTATAGGTCCACTCGCAAGAGGCAACGCTCAGAATCGCCCTACGACGACGACCGCAATGGCCGCAACGAAGACCGTCGATACAAGTCTGCAAGGCATGACGAAGATGAGGACGACAACGATGTCCTCCCACAGCCGTTTGATGCCCGCAAGTTAGCCCCGGCCAAGAGAACACAAACCCCCACTACCAGCGGCGAGCCTAGAAAGCAGAAGCGGCCTGGCCAACGTGCCCGCATCACGGAAGCCGAGCGCGAACAGATTCGCCAGCGTCAGATGGAGCGCGAGCGCCAGGCTCAGCGGGAGGCAGAAGCGGCCGCCGAAGCCGAGCGCCGCAACACGGTCAATGACGTGGTACGCGCCCATTACAATGCTGTGCCCGAGCGTGGCCGTGACTGGCGCAAGACGGACAGTCGCATCAAAGGTCTCCGCTCCTTCAACAACTGGGTCAAGAGCTGTATCATCCAAAAGTTTTCTCCTGACGAAGACCACTCGCCTGGCGCTCGTGAGCGGGGAATCAGTTCGAACAATCAGTTGTTGGTGCTCGACATTGGATGCGGCAAGGGCGGTGATTTGGGCAAATGGCAGCAGGCGCCACAGCCAGTGGAGCTTTATGTTGGGCTGGACCCAGCAGATGTCTCTATCGACCAGGCGCGCGATCGGTATCGTAGTATGGTGGCTCGTGGCGGTCATGGCGGCAGGGGTGGACGGGGTGGCTATAATAGGAGACAGCCGCCACTCTTTGAGGCGCGATTCCACGTCAAGGACTGCTATGGCGAGTCGATTGAGGACATTGACATTATCCGGCAGGTCGGGTTCGCGTCGTCCAACATTGGTGGCCCCAGCCACCGGGGCTTCGATGTGGTCAGCATGATGTTTTGCATGCACTACGCCTTTGAGACGGAGGCTAAGGCGCGGCAGATGCTGAAGAACGTGGCCGGTGCACTGAAGAAGGGTGGTCGGTTCATAGGATGTATCCCGAACTCGGACGTCATCAGCTCAAGAGTGGAGGAGTTCAACAAGCGATTGGCAGAGCAGCAGAAGGCTAAGGAGGATCAGGCCCAACCGAGTGTTGAGACCGACGGAAACACGCCCAAGGAATCAGTTCCCAACGGGGATGAGAAGCTCTCATCAGACCAATCACAGAGGAAGCCTACTCCAGAAGAGGGCGAGGCCTCGGAACAAACCCCCAAACCTGACGAGGACAAGGAAGAAGGGGAGCTGGAGGAAGGCGAGCTTGAACCTACTTCGGAAGCCAAACCACCCTCCGACCCAACCATCGCAGAATGGGGTAACGACATTTACCGCGTGCGGTTCAACGGCCCCACGCCTGCTGACGGAATCTTCCGCCCTCCGTTTGGGTGGAAGTACAATTTCTTCCTTCATGAGGCCGTCGAGGAGGTCCCCGAATACGTGGTTCCCTGGGAGGCCTTCCGTGCGCTTGCGGAGGATTATAACTTGGAGTTGCAGTACCACAAAACTTTCACGGACGTGTGGGAGACGGAGAAGGATGACCGTGAACTGGGGCCCCTGAGCGAGAGGATGGGGGTCAGGGATAGGATGAGCGGAAAGTTGTTGGTAAGCCCAGAGGAGATGGAGGCGGCGAGCTTCTACGTTGCTTTCTGCTTCTACAAGGTTTGAGACTGTTGTCAAGGTGATTCTGCGAGGGAGACTTGGACGTTTTCAACGGGGCATGATTTATTCTCCCCAAGCTTGATTACATCACTGCGCCATTATGGGTTGGCAATGGACCTTGAATGATGCATTTCCCTTCCTTCGTTGTGTCTGAAGACAGATGCTATCTTATCAGAGAAGGCGAAGTGTGACCCTGCTTCTTTTGCTATTTCAATGTCTTGGGGCCTTCGCCGTGCGTCTTGTGTTGAAGAACGAGAAGACGGTTGAACTAAAAATTACGGACGGGTTTGGACGGGCGGAGTGGTTCTCAACTACATGATAGACAATTACCAAGATCTCTCGTCACCTTGCTGCAAGCCATTATATAGCCAGTCCTGTACGTGATTAACCTTGATCACTAGGCCCGACCAAGGCGAGCCTCGCTTACCAATAAACTACACTAAACGCGGACTGACACCACTACGGTGCCGCTACCCCGGGATATTTACGGAGTTGCACGGCGTTTGCCCCACTGCCCCACCAATTGTCAGCGCCCGGCGGCGATGACAGTCTGGCGGATTCCATCTATCCCCACATGCATTTGTTGACATGCCTTGGACTTGGACCTTTGAGGATTAGGAGAGAGCTTGTGATTCGAAAACTGCGCCGCATTCACACGCCAACAGCATTGTGTCATCATCAGTCGGACGGGGGTTTCAGACAACAACGATCCGAAAATCCACCGATCATTCGCCAGACTATCTTGGGATATACTTATCGAGTCATCTCATCACCACCCAACTCAACTTCTGGATTTCATCTCACAACCTCTCTTCCCCCGTCAACATTCATCCATCACCAACCAGACACCACCAAACATGTCCCTCCCGAACCCAGACAACCGCCCGCTCCTAATTGGGCCTCCCACCGGGCCCGAGGCCCCCTTCCCCTTCCGCATGGAGGGCGAAGTCATTTCCGGCTTTGGCCGTGGCTCCAAAGAGCTCGGCATCCCGACCGCCAACCTGCCCGTCGACGACGAAAACACCTGGATCAAGAACATCGACTCGGGCATCTATTTCGGCTGGGCATCGCTCAAGTTGCCCGCTTCGCATCCCAACTCAGTCTTGTACCAGAAACCTCCTACTTCCGAGCCGGTGATGATGGAGCCTGTTCAGCAGCAGCAGCAGCAACAAAATCAACAACAACAACAACAAGAAGGGGGAATTGAATCAGCCCAACAAGCAAAGCTCGTCGACCAACAAACCGGCCAGTGGCAGATTTACCCCATGGTCATGTCCATAGGCTACAACCCCTTCTACAAGAACACGGTGCGCTCGGCCGAGGTGCACGTTTTGGGAGAGTTCGCGGCTGATTTCTACGGGGTGGGCATGAGGCTTTTGATTACGGGGTTCATCCGTAACGAGAAGGATTACAGCGGGCTGGAGGCGTTGATTGCTGATATCCACTTTGATTGTGAGGTTGCCAGGCACAGTTTGGCGAGGAAGGGGTGGAGAGTGAGGGAGTTGGGTGTGAAAGAGGGGGGAGAGGAGGGTGAATTGGATGGGAGTTGGTTGGTGAGGTGAAGGAGGAGAGGTGAAAAGGGGGAAGTGAGAGGGAGGTGAAGAGATGAAGGGGAATTGGAAAGATTAGAATTTGTGCGGCGAGTGGGAATACCGACGGGATGGCAAGACTACCTAGTACCGATAGAATCTAGAGATGGGACGCTGCGCTGGAGCTTGAAGGATGCAAGAACTGCAAATCTATATAATGCGGAGACAATGTTGAATTAGAAGGAGAGGATGGGAGACTGGGAAATGAAAAAGGATGCCGTGGGTACCGACGACCAAGGGTATCACGTGCATGCCGACTTGACCTGCCGATTGATAAGATAGGCTTCCTTTTGTTCCTTCTCCCCTCTCCAGTGTCGTGCACCTCCATCGTGAAGGAGCGACCGGTATTTGGATGGGGTGGAAATTGTTTTTGCGAGACTGGTCTATGTGAAACCCCCAAGTTCTTCCCCTCTTCATCATCTTTGCCTTGTCTACCATGTCTTTGCACCTTCTCCACCCTCAGCGCAATCTTCACCTCCTTTCTCTTCACTGTTTCTCATTGCAAGGTATCAAAGGTCTAACGATGGTGCTTGTGCTTCTAGTTCAACTTCACCATTGGGCAGCGATGGGCCAGCCAGAGGTACACAAGCGCCCCATCTAAATCCAGGTACGAAGAAAAAGCGGGCAGCGGGCTAACACAATGTAAAGAACATGTCTTATCCACATCGATCTCTCAAGATCATAGACTGGCACCAAATGATTTCTATACCAGGCGAGTTCGGTCAGATGGCGTTATGAAAGGCCGTTATATCCGCCCCATTGATGGGGATCTACATAGGGTATAGGGTGGTAGGTTTGTATAATAGGTATGCTTGTGGCCTGGACAAGAAGGGGACACTCAGGCGTTGCTTAAAAGTGTAAACATATGATATAATAAGGAAGGTATTTTTTGTAGATATAGATAACGACGCCATGATCAAATGCTTTTTCAAAGTTGTATCTGCATGTGTGAAGGATATTCACCATCTGCAAATGTCTGCGAAATTCGGTGGGTCTCACCAATAACCCACTAGAACACGATGAAGCCTACATGATATGTTTTTTCTGGTTGCTGCGTCTTCTTTCACAGAAGTGAAGTCTCCGTCAAATGCCCATATCTCTATTCTCAAAGCGAACATATCGACCGCGAAGTAAGTACAGCGAATGATCGTCCCTCGGTGACTCCAGCACCGTATTTGCACCAAATAGGCATAAAGAAGAATGGAGGAGATAAAAAGGATTTCGCGAATATAGTTCAACATGTTCAGTTATATGCTGGACATTGGTGTTGCTTTTGCAACAGATAGGAACAGAACGAATGGAAAAGAGCGACAAAGGAGAACAGATGCACCCCTCAGAGCCCTTGCCCGCCCGTACAGTTCAATAGCCCCAGGACAATATTTGTCCACGACATCACAGCCCCAAATGGCTGAGGGAATTCCCGACTAGATTAAGCCTGGCCCTCATAGTTGCCTCTCTTCGTATTTAAATAGCGCCCAGCTCGTGGGTTGGGACGTCGAAGTGGTACCCAATGGAATTGGGCAAAATATTGGAGTCGAAGCTAGTGACATTTGAGATGCAGATGGTGTCATTTTCTGTCTGTCCCTCTTGTTAGCTTGGGATTAGTTCAATGAGCGCGGTTATTGTTTTCCTGCCTGACTCATCTAAACCACCTGTGCGTGGCAGCGTCTATGCGGATGTACTGCTTCGGTATAAGACCCTCATGGATGGCAGAATAAGAGCACTTTGTTCAAGACAGTTTAAGGAGGACAAATCTGCCAAAGAGCGTGAGAAAACGGGAAAGTGCCATATTCGAAAGAAGCCCTCCTTTGCAAGTCCTTCCACGAAGGGCCGCCATAATACTGCATGTGTAGCATCCCATGTCGGCCGCGAAACTACAAGCACCCTCGCTTTCAGGGTTTTTTTTTTTTTTTTTCTTCTTCAGGGGTCATTGTAACGGCAACCGTGCGACATGCGCCGCACAATAATACTGTAGCAGATGCAATTTGCTCACTCTTGGGTTGTCGACAGCAAGCTTGGTTTCACCGAGAAATCGGCGTCTTCGCCTTCGCTGCCGTGAGGTTAACTCGGAATGTTGCACCGTGGTCTTTAGCGAGCCTGGATGTGAGTGGTAATTAAGTGTTCGGAGAGCCTTATTGAAGACTCTTGTTGTTATAGTGCCATCTAAAACAAATGATTTGCATCAGGTTGTTAGTCAGCTTGTCTTATCTGCTCGTTCTTCTCTCTCGAAGCTAGGCGAGTAGGTGGTCCTGCTAACTTCAGTCTCTCGGTCACTTCCTCATGGCAAGCCATACCTTACCGAGTCTTGACACCACCTCAGGCAAAGTCCTGCCTCTACAGGTAGAGTTGGACCTCGACACAGCCTGGGTGAAATGGTGGTTGGTTCGACCTTCAAACCTGCTATTCTAGGTAAGCTGCGTGGGATTTAGGATACATACAATTCGACGTATCTATCAATCTCATAGTCAATCAGACAGGCCAATCACGGAAAGACTTCAACAATCGCATCCGATGTTTATCTGCTTACTGTGGTAACTGCACCAGTCCATCGGTCCAAGTTCTAAACCACTTTAAGCTCTGTTCCTGACACAGGTTCCTGTTGCTGCCTTGCGCATTTCTTAATTTAGACCACGCACACCAAATGGAGTCCCGGTCCCTGTGTGACCAATGAACCACGGGCTTCCAACATCCAAACCACGAATCAAATAGAAGCAGACAACACAGACAGACGTAGGAGTGATAAGAACGAGATGATCGATAACGGGTTATGTGTGTACTTGCGCATGTGGGACGTGGGGAAGGAAGCAAGCAAGATAGCGTTCGGGCTGAATACTAGGCAGACAGAGCAGCCGCATGGACAAGAATTGGTTGGCAGCACTCGGTGATATTAGGGAGAACGGGATGAGAGGGGGAGAACACCCGTCGAGACCGTGGACGAAAGGAAGGAAGAGGAGATGAGGCTCGGGGTTGCGTGGAGGATGAGGAGGGCGGAGTGCTCGATGGCTGCCGATCCGAGAACGTTTGGGATGGGGAAATGATGCAAAATTCTGATTTCACGTGTGGGAATTGATGCATGAGGGAAAGCGGGAAGCGGGAAGGTGCCATCAAGGAGGCTCGGTGAGGCTGTGTCGTCAGGATGTAATTTGCTGGCATGCCAAGAAGCCTTGCCCAATCGTGGGGAAAGAGCCTTCACCGGCGACACTTTCCCCTCATGCCTTTGCCATTGATTGATGTGTGATAATTGTGTGTGAGTGGCACCTACCCGTTTACATGAGGAAGAACATCAATCATCCTCCTGCTTCCGAAAATGCGTCTCGACCGGCTCTTCCTACATATACCTCTAGTTCCAGTTCGCCTGCTTCCTGCCTAACTAATAGCGTGGGACTAACATTGAGCAGTTGATACCTTCGGATGAAACCTTCCTAGTTCATTACAGTCTCATTTCGTTGCACTTTCCCATGCCGTATTCGCGACAATGTTAGAGTCTAGTAGCGAAACGGTTGAACTGAAACACATGTATCAAAGACAGAAGGCGCGGCTGTTGCATGCCATTCTAACCAGGCTCTCACGATATACGTCGTACGTAGGACTATCCTACCTTCGCCGCGCAGAGTAGGTATCACTCGAAGCCTCAATTCCTCACTTGGTAGATTTCTTCCCTCTTGCATAACTACCTACAAGCTTATCGCCTTAATTGTGCATAGAGGTAGTTATCGTTGCTTTCATCTGTCCGTCATCTAACATTGCCTGCCTGCCCAGCCTGCCTTCTCGTCCACGTTTTGGTACTTGCCGAGGCGGAGAAGGCTGCCTAGCTGTCTGCCTAACTGTACTCACCCACCTCACCCAGTCGTGACCAGGCACACGGCCGATTCGGAACCACTCCCGGTTACCGATGGTGCGTATCGCGGTGTGCAGCGTGTCCCACCAATTTTCGAGGCCCGTCAATGGCTGATACTCTTTTGTTGAGCTTGTCTCTCGCCCAGTATGGTTGGTTTTCGGTCGACTCTTGATTGCCAGAGGCACGGTACGTGCTCATGAGTGTCCATCAAGCTTTCCCAAACATTTCTCCCCGCAGTTCAGGTATGGCAAGCTAGGCAGGGAGTAGATAGGGCTGGATGTCTCTTCCATTGATAGCCTTGTGCGCTCATCACCGCCCCCTCTCCCCAGTGGTCGGTCAGTCGCAAGACAACCTCGAGTGGAAGTCATGGCTTCATAGCCGTCTGCATGCCGGGCACCATGTGCTGTGAAAACAGTCATGGCTGAAAGGTATCCGATCGATAATCTGACATCCTCTTCTGGTCATAGGAAGAAGGTGACTTGGCATCATGACACCGATATACAAACTCGTGTCTTGGGGTTGGTCCTATATAGACCCAAGACAATGACCGCCCTTCATGATGTTTGCTGTCCCAAACCATTCTATTTCCATCTCCTTAACTTCTCAAGCATTGCTTTGCATTGTGACTTGGATTCCGAACATATCACTTACCTCTTAACCCATCATCGTGGTTGCAAATCCTGCAACCACCATCTTGATATTCTGGCTTTCCTCAACCGCATGGCAGGCATAGACACTCGTCAGCTACCATTCAACAATCTCAGCGCCGACGGCCTTGTTCTCGTTGTTGGCCCTGTTAGCGCTCTCCGCACTAATCGTGAATCTCGACTGTCAACAACTTAAACAGCCTTGAACAAGAGCAAAGACAAGATGACGAAGCAATGGGAAGACCACAGACATATCATCATCCGGGAGTACAAGGACAACAACAAGCCTCTTCATGAGGTAAAGAAGTTCATGGAGGAACGGTATCGGTTTAGAGCTTCGTAGGTATTTCTTCCTGCGTTCAAGATGTCTATCGTGTTTCGCGTTACATTTCGATGGTGGTCGGCGGCGTTTGCTCGTTTGGGATGTTCGGGTCTCGTTTGTCGTTTCTCGTCGTTGCTTTGACCATAGTCGTTGTCTGTCTCTAACGCGTAATCGTGTGATAGAATCCGGGCATACAGGTCGCGCTTCGATCGATGGAGGGTTCGCAAGTATACGAGTCGCAAGCGAAGAGATTCTTTCGCAGCCAAATCCGATAAATCTGTGTTGTCCGAGTCATCAGATGATGGTACCGTCTCGCCACCCCCATCATCAAGTCCCATCCATAGACGAGGGAGCAGCAGCCGACAAGGACACCCGTCGATCCATTACATCGGTTCGGGCATGTACGAATCGACGACTCTAACGGAAGTTTCCTTGAGGTAAGTTCTCTGTTTTTCGCATGTCATCGGCAAGACGGCAAGACAAGGCAAGAGAGGGCATCAAGGGTGTGTCGTATTTTGTTAGAATCGTGTTTTGCGAGAAAAGAATGTCTTCATGCTGACTATCTCTTTTCCCCGCTACACTAGCCCCTCGGGCCATCCGAACTTTGAACCACTCCGGCAATTGTATCCTACAGACCCCCTCGCGGGACTGCTGCCTGGGTCGGGCCTGCATTCGAGCCAGAGAGGACTTGTGAACAATTTTCGGTACCCGCCTGACCATCAAGGGCATTATGACACTGGCATTTACCGGCAAGTTCACGACCCAGTGTTCCATACCAAGTTTACCGAGGGCTGTTCTCAACTGCTTCCCCATCATTGCTTCGCCGACAGGGTACTAGCAACCCGCTTTCCGCGGCCCATACGATAACTTAGCGGACATTATGGCCCGTCAACCGTTATCGAACCCTGCATGAGTTGAAACGGACATAACCCACTGGAGAAGTGGTGTTCACTGTTTAGCCTTCAACAGTCGAGAGGCCGGCCAACCCATTTTTTGCTAGCAGAAAGCATATCCAGCTTTACTTGGTGTAACCTGGTACTCGAATTTCGCAGCACAATTTTTTTTTTTTCTCCTCCGGTACAGCGGGCAGTGTATCCTTAGAAGCACGACAGGGGTACTGTGGACATACAAATACATGTGGAGTTTCGAGGGTTTATCTCTTCAAGCAACCACCCTACACTAAACGGTTACCCGAGACTGGTTTCAATATGATCAACATAGAAATGCAAGGCATGGCAACGTCTCTGCTGAGGTGACAACAAACAGTGCGCGGTAACTGCCGAAGGAGTGGTTCGCCTGCTGGGGTTTGATCAGGGGTGGAATAGACTCCGCTATGTAGCGGCCGCCCTCATTAGCTCGATGCAAAAGACAACCTTTCTCACTCAGAATCGTCCTGTTTCACCCCGTTGTTCGCACGGCCTGACCGTAATTGGGTACTCTCACCCATGAGGACGCTTTCATCCATTTGTTCGTCGGGATCAGCATTGGAGCTCCTGTCCTCGCTTTCCCTTGCTGCTCGAGCAGCTCGCTTGACCTTGCGCAATGTGAGTTCATCAAGATACAGGTCCTTGATGCGAAGCTCCTGTGGTGACATGTCAGCTGGAGATTTGTTGCACAAAATAATACGTCTATTCTTACCTTGGTGCACACAGGGCACTGTGCTTTGCCCCCAGTGCCTCTCAAGTACTCCATTATTGCGGTTTTCTCGAAAACGTGTGGGCATTTGTGGTTGGCGTATGGCTCCTTCAAGGGTCGAAGCGTTAACTTGCAAGTGAGGTCCTGGACCTCGCGCTCGATAATGAGGTCCTCATCACCCGCCGGAGCACCATCCCAAATAGGCCTGCCTTGGTTATCAAACCAAGTGGACGCATCGGGAAGGGGCACTTGGTCTTCGGGGTGCTGGGCATCATGCCACATCTTTTTGAAAGCGATGTACTCGTTGTTGGAAGCGTAACGGTCATAAGCACTCGTGGCACGGTACTGTCTCGCGTTGGAATCTCTTGCCTTGTGGAGTGCCTCGCGCACGCCGGTCAGAGGGGCCTCGTCCTTAGCTCCGACGGCCTCTGCCTCTTCAGGCTCGGCATCGACACCACCCATCTCCTCATCACTATCGCCGCTGACCCGCTGTGCAGCTTTCCGTTTCCGTGAGGGGCGTTCCCGGCGGGATTTTTCGCTCTGTACCTGGTCTGCCACCGAGCCCAAAACTAACTTCTCGCGCTGAACTTCGGCGCGGTAGTCAATAACCTGTCGCAAGGCAGCCTCGATCTCATCAGTCAAATGGGTCACATCTCCATGTAGCTTGTTGACGTATTCCTCGAGCTCGGCCTCGTCTTCGCCCTTTTCAGATTCACCACGGCCACGTCGCTTTTCGATCTTGCCCGTCAGCTGTGATTTACGAGCAAACAGGGTATCGTTAATGGCGCCGACGGCCTCTCGCAAGTAGGTAGCGGATTTGGAAAGATGGTCCTCGTACTTGCGCATCTCCGCGTTGTTGTTGGTGAGGTTGGCCAGGGCCTGTCTGCCTGCATCGTTCATTGGATGCGAGGGAGGCTCATAGGGGGGCAGGTCGGACCCATTGTGGGCTGATGTGGACGCGGAGGCAGTTGGCTGAGGGCGGCGCGAACCCTGAACAAGTCGGCCGGGTGGCATGATGCTGGAATGCGCGGTAGGTATTGAGGTGGCTCGGCTGGGTATAGGTGGCCGCTGGCTAGGTGTCCGTGATAGCTTGCTCTATGCTGGGCGATCCGCTGTCGTGCCGATAGACCCTTCAATCGAATATGATGCTGCGTAATGTTGGCCGGGGGGGGCTTGGCAGTCAGTGCCACTGTGTGTCCCCAGGTGAGCAGTGTACCGGCGTCGGTTGGGCTGCCTTGCAGATAAAGAGCTGGACCGTTGAGGCGTAGAAGGCGGGTGGAAGAAAGCAAAACAAGGACCAGAGGGGTTCTTGATTGCCGTAGAGTCTCGGGATATTTAGCGATCAGGGAGTCTAAAACATGCAATGACCTTTGTTGAACAGCCTGTTGAACGACCTGTCGAGCCTGTACCCGTCATGCAATTTGGACTGTGGTTGCTTGTGTAGCCCTACTAGACCTACGTCGAACAGAGATCGAACAATGATCGAACACGGCGATCGAGACGTCGCGGCGGCTGGCAACGGTATTCCTTGTCCGGGTCGGTGATTTGGTGATGGGGATCGTGAATGTCGGATACAAATTGAAACTGAACGGTGTTGAAGTTGGGAGTGGAAAACGCGTGTTGCCCTCAGCGGAACGCGTCTCGACCATTTAGGTAACGAACTTTCCACTTGGGACGTTTCCGTTTCGGTCCAAGTGGAAGCGGGAGTGGAGGCCGATGGAGGAGAGGCAGTGGAGACTGGAAGTGGTTCCGTTACATCGAAAATCGGGATTTGGCGAAGAAGCTCGAGCCACTGCACATGTACTTTAGGAAGATTCGGAATGCCAAGACCGCTAGCGCGGTACATCGATACATACTTGCGACCTCAGCTCTTACTAACCGTAACGCTGCAATCAACTCGGTCCACTGGCAGTGAATCAAACGAACCAGTCATCCAACCGACCCAGCAATGGAAATTCATCTCAACTCGTATCCGTCATGTTATAGGTTTCTGCTGAGCCTGCGAGTATACGAGAAGCATCTGTATTCGTAAGACTCTATTCGCGACGCTGAGGACGGCATAAGCTGTCTGGAACTGCCCTCGCTGGCCCCAAAATGCACGGCCGAGCCTGTCATGCCCCCGGGTACTTGACCAGCAATTGTAGGGTATCTTTTGACGACCAATCGACAGCAATGTGTGACATCAGGGACAAGGGGGGAGGCTTCCCGCAACACAGCACAGCTTCAGCCTCAACCTTTTGTTTTTTCAGCGATGACGGGCCGTGAAAGGCACAGTTCTCTTTCTGTCTCTCCTCAAAACAAGCCAGACCCTTCTTGATTGAAGTGCCATTCCACATATGCACACATGGCTCGGGCATTACTAGTAGCCAGCTCAGCTTAGGTACCCTTACACTGCGAAGCCCGAACGGGAAATTGCTGTGAAATGTGAATCCTCGATCCTGGTTGCTGACTTGCTCTTACTCGCCGAGTGAGTCGCCTGTCCCACAGATTACAGATTACCGCCCAAGAACCGGGAGGGCGGATCATGACAGGTCCATTCAGCGGTAGCGAAAGCCCCCCGTGCCCCCTTGGCTGATGACCAGGACAAGACGCAGGCGGCGAGATGAGGATGAGCCCTCTTCATGATGAGGACTCACCAACCAACCGCCATTCCCTATCCCTTCCAGGCCGCTGGCGTCTCTGTCGGAAAAGGGATATGAGTGTGTGAACGAGGTGGATATTGGCCGTCGAAGCCCATGGGAACTTCCCGCTCTTGGCGCCTTTGCGTTTTCGTCAACGTTGGACGATTTATCCCCATCACCCTCATTCGCCTGGCCGGCGATGCAGTGGCATCAAACACAAGCCGTCTTTAGCATCGGAGTATACTACACACACACGCACTCTCAGCAGTGAGTTTTTGGAAGATCCAATGCTGACTTAACACAGGCAACCCTTCACGAAGACCCGGCTTGCCGTTGATTATTCGGTGTAACCAAGCGCTGGGACTGTGCACCGTGTCACATCGAGATTTCAAACTGCTCTGCGGTCGTGCAGTCACCGGTTATCATGGAACTAATTGGAAACCAAGCGGCCGGTTGAGCAAAGTCTTGCCCTGAAAAGTTGGCACATCAGAGCCATCCCGTTTGCGGTTGCAGACGGATGAAAAACGAGCGGAATGCACGGGAACAGGGCAAGGTGACCATGACATGGGCGAAAGGTAGCCGGAGACAGACGCAACCCGCGCACATCCCGAAAGGGGAAGTTGCGATAATCTCGTGTTGTGACTTTTCCCTCTTCCCTCAATGATGTGCCGACGCCAACGCCATCACTGTGATTCGAGCTTGCCTGCTTCCTGGCGTCCTATGGCCTCCCGTGTCCTGCTGGTGATCATCCCAATCTGTCAAGTCTCATTTCCCCTCATTCCCATCACGATGAGGAGTCTGAGACTTTCCGGGAAAAGAGGGGGTGTCGATAGTTTGGTCCGTTTTGTCGACGGTATTCATGTGATGTCCCTACAGTTGCATGAGACCAGGCCGCCCTGTTGTTGTTCATGGTTCTCTCCCGGTCCCAAGGGAGCCAGGCTGGGGCGCCCCCCTCCCCCCCTCCTTCTCTGTCCTTCCACAACTTCATGACCCCCCATGCGCCTCTGCCTAAAGGTCTACCACCTACCGGACCCTCTGCTCATCAAGACCCCCAAGGTGCCCCGCCCGCTTTATCGCCATACAGTAAATTGACTGTACATATACCCGATGAGAACCTGGTTGCTGTTCGATCCAAACTCGGGCTGTCCAACATACAAGCGAGAAGCGTGGGTCACCTCACGGCCGGTTGGCGCAAAGGGACGAGGTAGGTTTGTAGTGTAGCAAGGGGGTTCGGCCTTGACGCCTACAAGGGAGCAGATGGAATGAGAACACCTAAACAACCAAGCTCAGAATCAAGGCATCACCACATGTCTTTAGCGCAACGATATCAGCAAGCTCTCCGAACACACATGAAAATGGGTTCCGTTATTGTGGTCCTGGTGAAAGGGGTGGTGTTGGGTACTTGAGGTACATATCTACCTACCTACCTACCTACCTACCAACCAACCAACCTCCCCACCAACCTCTCGGGTCGGGCAGATTAACGTTGGTGGTCAAGGTGTCAAGTGTCGTATGTCCGGTGGTGGTGGTGGTGGTGCGCGCATTTGACAGCCGGTGACGGGACAACTTGAAAGGAACCGAAACCGAAGAGACAACTTGACAGATGGAAGTGACTAACTCCCTAGAGCACTAGGGTTGACGTTGCAGTAAAAACGTGCCGGTTTTCTTCCCTATCTGCACTGTCCGCTGGCTGGTTGGTGCGGTTTCAATTGTTCGTGCTGGCGCGTGGGTCCCGTTCTTGGTTCGATCCACGGCGCTGGTGCGATCGCTGCGGATCTGGGTCCCTCGATGATTTAGCAGCTGCGATCGGTCAGCATCGCTGTCCCCATTCTACGTACACTGCCATCCGAAATCAGAAAGTATTCCCCAAGTTCGCTGGTGGGTTCCATGGGTCTTGGCGGCATCCAGATTTGCCTGCATTCTCACGCCGTCTGCTCCTTCTTCTCCTATTTGTCTCCGTGCTGTCCGCGAATCGGTACGTTTTTCAATGTTTGGCCTCTTGGCCATGACCCTCTTCGGTTTCTGGATCGAACTTTGTTCGGTTACTACCTAGGTACCTACCTAGGCTCGAGCTAGGCACTTACGTCTATGACTCCATCGGCCTCTCTTTCCTCCCTTCGGACTTTTGCATATCCACAATTGGCAACTCTCACCGATCTCTCGTCAACCTCCTCTCGTACTTTGATAACGCTTATACTATCTTTTTCTTCTCTGTTAGCATTCATTTGAAGACACTATCCTGATAAGCGAAAACCCCAAGACGCCTTCGATCTGAATAATAAAAGTCACCACGGTATTCTTCACCAAAAGTGTGAAGCAAACATGGCATCATCAGCCCATTGAGGGACTACTATGTCAGCAAGATCAAGACTCTTCTTTCATGACTTTTGTGGTGCCATTGGTCTTGGGTTGGGGGTGTAATGGTCAAATAAACGGGAAGGGGTGGTCAGCCCTGAGCGTCGATGAAGAGCGTGATGATAAAAACTCCATACGGTGCAAGTTGTCGATAAAGACGGGGCACATGATGGGGATTCTTGGACGCCAGGGTCTTCCACCTACCTAGTCTAGGGTGTCAAAGGAAATGCGGTCCCATTACTGGATCCATCCGAACTGCTCGAACATCGGGCCACTCCCGTTGTGTCCTCTGAGTTTCCCGATCTCAAGAGCTTCCCGATGCAGGCTGTGATCACAGATCCTGGCCTCGGCGCTGAGACGGGATGATGGATACTGCTGTACTATGTACACTAGATACGGGACAGCAGAGCAAGCGGCACCCGGACAATGGGACAGCAGCAAGCAGTCACTCTTCAACAAGAAAAAAAAAAAAAAATTGAAACGGCCATGTCGCCGGCATACCACCCACAGCCTGGCTCCCGCGTTTTGTCAATGGCTCACACAAAGAGCTCCCATCTCTTGTCCGGGCCGTGGTCTCTTTGTGTACCCTCAGGCCACCCTTGCTACCTACGTACATGGAACGTGTAAAGGCGTCGTGTACCGTTCGATTGGATCGGCGTCTTGTCTCTGGCAACTGTCTCTCTTTTTTGCTGTATGTCCCTGGCCCCCCTTGGCCTGCCCTGCCTGGCTCTTGAGCTATGGTGTCTCTCCATACAGGACCCTGGGCATCCCAAACACCCCCGGCTCCCACTTCAAATGACCAGCAGGATACCGGTTGTTGACCAGGTCTACCGGATCCCCGATACAGACTTTGTCTGGAACCTTTGCGTCTTGATTTTGTTTATCGCACCCAAGATTACTGTTTCCACCTTTCGGTCCTCACATCTGCACTGATTCGACCTCGTTCCGCAGCCAAATCCTGCTCCAGATCCCCTACACTACATCTCGATCGACGGCATTCCGGCGCTCAGTCCCAACCAGACCTTTGCGTCTTAGGGCTTTATTAAATACCCTCTTCTTCCTTCAACCTCATAGCCTTTCTTCCTTTGCCTTAGCCTTAGTTCTTGCCACCGTGTATGCCTTCAACCTTGATATCATTACACTCAACAAGCTCCATCTCATCCTCGACTCTATTGGTCTATGCGATAACCTATCACACTTACACTACCAATTCCCTTGTCCCAAATAGGTCGGCCTATAACATCGTCATCAACCTGTTAGCCTTCGCCAGCTAGGGGGCTAGCGCCTGTGCGATTACTCGAAAGCCTCTTCAGCCGGCTAAAGAAACCATCATAATACCCTACCAACACACTGTCTCATAGCCAGCACCATGAGCCATACCGTGAACTCGAGCACCATGAACCCATGGGAGGTTGAGGCGTATCAGGTAGACAGCACTCCTTTCTTCTGCTTGGTATTGGCGATGCCCCTGCTAACAAAAAAAAACCCCAGCAATACCACTATGACCCTCGAACCGCGCCCACGGCCAACCCTCTCTTCTTCCATACGCTCTACGCTCCCGGCGGTTACGACATTATGGGCTATCTGGTTAGTCACCCCCGAAGCCGTGTTCGTTGTTATCATGGGGAGGTCAAAGCGGCTAACATACTGTAACAGATTCAGATTATGAACAGGCCAAATCCCCAGGTAGAACTGGGACCTGTTGACACGTCATGCGCTCTGATTTTGTGCGACCTGAAGCAAAAAGACACGCCAATTGTGTACGCCTCGGAAGCTTTTCTCTATATGACAGGATACAGCAATGCGGAGGTCTTGGGGAGAAACTGCCGTTTTCTTCAGTCACCCGACGGAATGGTCAAGCCGAAATCGACAAGGAAGTACGTCGACTCCAACACGATCAATACGATGAGGAAAGCGATTGATAGGAACGCCGAGGTGCAGGTTGAGGTGGTCAACTTTAAGAAGAACGGTCAACGGTTCGTCAACTTCTTGACGATGATCCCGGTGCGAGATGAGACAGGGGAATACCGGTACAGCATGGGTTTCCAGTGCGAAACGGAATGAAAGCGGCGAGTTAAGAAGGGAGAGGAGAGAAGAAAAGGGGGGAGAGCGAAAGAGAAGTGGGATGAGAGGCAACAGTCACAGCACCTCCACGGCGCAATCACAACAACTACAACCACAACAAGACCAACATCAACATCAAGATCAACAAACAAGGGGAGGGAGTTAGACACGATGTCATCTGGCATACGTCGCGGCGTTTGAGGGTTTTACTTTTTTGTTTGCTGTCATTCCGGGGTTTCTCATGTTTGGCTAGGGGCTTCACATCAACATCATTGCGAAAGGCGTCTTATTCTGCGATCGGGCATGGCGATGAGATTGGTCTTTATTTTTCATCTTTATATTCCCACATGTACATATCATTACAGTCATCCGCTTTCTCACTTCCGTCGTTTCTCAAAAAAGTGTTTGGTTCTTCTTTTACCGCATCACCTATTATTACATTATCATCTGTCAAGATGACAGAGCGGCATTATGGCCCTGCTTTAGATCTTCATCTTCAGGTTGCTTTGGATCAGGCAAATCGCAAGAGAAGTGGATCTTTCGATGAGGCGATTTTCCATCGGCTTTTACGTTATGATGCGGGAAGCAAGCAGGCAGGCTTGTTGGGTAGGGAATGGACTAGCAGAAGCGGTATGAGAGTTATCAGTCTCGCAAATCAAGGAAGGGGTCGAGGATACAGGAGAGAGAACGCGATGACCATCGTTGCTACCGCGGGGCCAAAAGGTTCTGGATTGGAGCAGTTATTCGAGTGGGCCACTGCAATGAATTCACATTTCATTCCGCCAAATATGGAAACGGAATTCTGCAAACACCGAAACATCAACAGATTGAATCCTTTCTACTGCCATCAATGACCAAGCAGCGCTTAAACTATATCACTATGCCATTGTCACACGCCACAGAGAGCGTTCATCAAAGGGCTGAGACATTCAACTTTCCTTGGACCGTCCATCATTCCGTTGTCAAACCGTCGAGATCGTCACGCCGGGACAGTAGTTCTACAGTATCCCGCGCACATAACCCCAACCCCGATCCTTGATCAGCACTTGAGTTACATGGACTTCAACCGAGCCAACCAGAAAAAAGGCAACCACCACCCAGGCCAGGGGCAGCGATCAGCCTCTCTCCGTTCCCGCTCTTTCCAATCCCATCTCGCGGATGCAAAACCGACACTGACCGTCAACCGCCCAACCGCCCACGCCCGCAGCTCCCCCATAATACTGACGTCACCACACACACCTCTCTTCACTTTTTGCGCATCTCGCATTTCTCATCTCGCAAAAGAAATCGACAACTGCAGCGGGTTCAAATCAATGCTGCTTGCCGCCCAGGCGGACAGACGGGTCCCCCTGACAGCTGCATCCCTCAGTGAAAAGCGCGCACTAGGTACACGCATTGCAAGAACTGCAGGTCTCGTGGGAAAACAGAAGGAGGAAAAAAATATATATATATATATAAGAAGAAGAAGAAGAAGCAGTAGAAAATGAAAAGAAATCTGGGGACAGAACTACGCCGAAATCCGCACGCCACACCACGATCATACTACAAAGGAAGAGTCTACTTGGGGAGCTTATAGAGATACGTTTTTGAAAAACTAAGTATCAAATAATCAAGGTCCGCTGGCTCAATGGCAGAGCGTCTGACTACGAATCAGGAGGTTCCAGGTTCGACCCCTGGGTGGATCGGTTACATGCGTCAAGTGTTCAACTTGTTTTTTTTTTTTTCCTTTTTTTTTTTCATACCTCCAAAAGGGTCATAGAGTTTCAACATGTCGAGGATATAATTATACCATATGAATTTACTTTTGTGTGTTCAGATTTACATTTGTAGTCTTCAAAACTCTCATTCTCATTCACTTTGGCACATTCGGTCACAGGTTGGTGGTTACGCTTCAAGATGATGATGACCATGAGCTGTTCAATCGACTTGCAAGTGAAGTCACTTTCTACAGCAGTATAAGAAGGGGGCTAAATTTCGCTTGTTCTCCTTTTTTTCCCTGCTACGACTGAGGATCTCTCTGTCTAACCAAAGAACAGTAAAATACTTCGTACAAGATAGGAATGCCTCAAAAGAAAAATTACGCTGAGGCTGGGTGGTTCACAATATGTATGTGCGGCAAACGAGTGATGTAAGATATGGAAGCATCTGGTTGGGGAGAAGGGTATCATGGATCAATTCAACGCGCTATGTATGTGTTCATAGAACACCACCAACCCGACCAGCCAGCCCACATGCCACCAGCAACCCGAAACAAAACAAAACCCAGAGACAAAATAAAAAGAACCGGAGAAGAATTGAGCAGGCACAGTTCATGACTGTTACCAATTCAAGGAAACCACGTCGCGCCACATCCCATGCAACCAAGTCACACACCATCAAACGGCTTGATGCACTACCATCTACGCAGCATTCGAAGTCGACCTCCTCCAAATCATAAACGCCGCTAACGCCGCGCACGCCGTCGCTCCCAGTGCCATGTACAGACTGGCCCTATCCGCCGGCGGTTCCTCGCTCCTAGGAAACGCCGTGCTGGGGTTCGTCGCCGCCTCCGCCAGCGCGACAAACAGTTCGCTAATGCTATTCCAGGTGACGCTTACGTGCAAGGGCGCGCTCATGTTGAGCGCGGCCGTGTACGCGTCTGGCTGCAGCTCGCTGCGCTGCGTGGTCTTGTCGCGGTCGGCCTTGAGGGCCGTGTAGACGGCGGGTAGCTCGTCGAGCTGCGGGTATCGCTTGCGGAGCTCGACAATGTGCGAGAAAGAGTCGGGCTCGGACGAGTCGTAGGCGTAGCAGATGAGGTCGCAGGCGTCCAGTTTGGCTTGGTTCTCGAGGATGGCCGGCTCCAGCTCGCCGAGTTCTTCGAGGATCAGATAGCACTGCTTGCCGCCCTGGAGCTCGACGCTGTTGACGGCCTGTCTGGGCTTGATGGTGGGGTGGTAGAGCGTGTCGAAGGGCCGGTTGAGGAACACATCTAAGAGGGAGGATTTGCCGGCGCCGGAGGAGCCGAGAATGTAGCAGAGGACTACGTTGCGGTCGACGCGCCCGGGCCGACGCCTTCGCTTCCGAGGTTTTGTGATTTTGAGGGCGGCTGTTGTCGTCTCGCGGGCGTTTGGTGTCTCGAATCCTAGGTATGCTAGATACTCGAGGGTTGTCTTCGGTTCTAGAAAGGTAGTCATGCTCCACTGGGCAAGCCAACCTTGAAGAGTGATGTGCCCAGCCTCGTTCCGGACGGTGGTGGAGGGGAACGAAGTCTCAGCCCAAGAGTGTGGGAGTCCTGGAGTGGGCGCGAACAAGGCAGCAAGTTCCCGGTCATTGAGACCTCCATCGTTGTCCTTGTCAAAAGTCAAGAAAAGATCCATGAAAAACCGGTATCCCGCTGGACTGAGTTCTGCGGACGCATAATCGGGAACGTCGAATCGTGGGTGTAAGAAACTGTCCTCCAAACTCAAACTGTCTGTGTAGTGATATTTTCGAAGAATGATCCAAATCGTCTCGTGCCGCCCCTTTTCTGCATATAGCTTGTTCAGTTGCAGAAACCCTCGGAGATCCAAACCCTTATCAGTGCTAGAGCTTGGCACTGACTTGCTGACTGTCAGCTTGATGTTATCGAGGTCTTCTTGTGAAAGCGGCTTGTCAAAAGACTTTTGTTGAAAATCCTGCATTTCTTGATCGTTCAGGTACCCATCCTGGTCCTTGTCGGACAGGAAGAATATCCTCCTCAACGCATCGACGCAGGCGGGCTTCAGCTGGCCTTCCTTGTAGTCGAACAAGGGGGCAATGGGATGCGTAACGGCCTTCTGACATAGATAGAAGACCTCGATTACGTTCTTCTGCTCCTTTGCGCTCGTCCTAATGCACGAATCGATCTCCCTGAATTCGGCCATTACAGGAAGCATCTCTTCCTCGGCCACGTGCGCAGCATTTCCATCACTAACAAGGTCCGACTTATTGGCGCATAGTACAACCGGAACATTGACCCCCAATGATCGGAAGTAGGGCATCCAGAATAGAGCGACGCGTTCGTAGCTGTAATGATCGGAGTAGACCAGGAGGATGACGTTGGACTTTCGAATCTCCTTGCGCAACGTGGTTCGGTCTTGTGGGCGGGCGGATGTATCAACGATGGTGGTGGTAACATTTTCGGGTGTTCCGGTCGTCGGGGGAATGGTAACTTGAGGCAGGACGGCCTGTATCTTGTTGGCGACGAAGACGCCCTTGACCAGAGAGGCAATCAAGCTAGACTTGCCGGTCCCCTCATCGCCGCAAACGCAGATGCGGACTGCTACAAAGGGTTAGGTTAACATTTGTCAGGAGTAGTGTCTATACGAAGTATAATAGACAAAGCTCTCGAGGCTGGAAACGTCGACCTTGCGCGCTGGATATCAAGGGAGAGTAGTTGGAATCGTACCAGTAGACATGGTGGCGTAAACACGGAGCTACTATTCCATGATAATCTGTACAGGCCGTCTCAATGAGCTAGAGTCGCGGCGCACTGATTCACACAGTGATGAAAATCGGAATGTTTCGTTAAATAGATGGTTCGAAAAACTAAGGAAGACAAGTTGAACGTGCAAGAGTGTCAGTGTCAAGTGTCAGTTATGCAAGCGGGCAGGTGGTCGGATGGTTTTGTTGAAATCGAACGAGCTCCAAGTTGCTCAAGCCAAGGAGTCGTCGAGGTTCCTCAAAGTGGGGAATCTCGTTTGCTCAACTGACCACTCAGAAAGAGCGCTGGTTGGGCGAATTGGGGTCGGTGGGTCCAGACCTCCCCGCCTGGCTCAGTCAAGTTGTCTGGACAACGACACTTGTTGTGTACATACACAATCGTCTGCTAGATAGCCACTTGCTGTCGCTATTTCTGGCACGTGGGAATGTACAAGTATATTTGCGATTGCGACTGGGAGCGAGACATGACGAGTGACCTGGACCATGAAGCTCAGTGGATGCCAAGGTTACCGATGCAAGAGCGCTATGAAGTCCAACCAGGATCCCATGATCAGGACGATACGAAGGAACTCATTGTGATGGAAGCTCTCTCCCGAGCCTGCCGCGATGAGCACCGGCACAGTTAGTGTAGTTAGTCCAATTACCCCAATTGTGCATCTGCAGGCGACCCTTATATGCATCCCCCATCGTCCTGTCCGCAAGCTTCAGAGGCTGGGATGTTTCTGGTGTACATGTTAGTGAAGAGCGTGCGAGTGGTGTGGTTCCATTGGTTTGAGGCTTCTAGAAGGGATGACAGCCACCCAACGGGGCATTACAGGTCCGGGCCGCCGCCGAGGCTCCGGACGATGTCGTCGTCTCATTCAGCCGATTTACCCCACACTTTCCGGAGATCCATTCATCCCGCGTGGTTTGCGGCCAGTAACGAAGGGTCCCAGTGGCTCCCGCCCGCGCTTCCCCAGCCTTCTGAAGCATCCAAAATGTGACTAAAGAAGCCCCCTGTCCGTCCCAGTCCGACATCATGTCGTGCTGATAGCGTATTGGCGCGTCACTGCAGCGTACCTAACTCATCCTTGAACAATGCCGTCAATCCCGCATTCTTCGGTGTGTCTTTCCCCGGCCTGAGAATGTCCGTCTCTTCTCCTTCCTTCCTTTCAACTCATCCATTCAGGTCCTCCATCATCTGACTCCCGTCCTGATCCGCCTTCTGTATATTTACAACCTTGAGCTTTCCACTTCCCATACCTACTTCTTGGATACTGTTGTTATCTTCCGTTATCTCTCTTTTCCCCATTCGAAGCTTCCACAGTCTTGGACTCCTGCTTCTGGCTGCTTGCAACCCGCTTGCGATTCTCAACCTCCCGGACTTCCGCCCACGCCCATCCATTCCAAACCCACCCCTTCTCGAGCCTTCGATCTCTTGTAGCTCAGTTTGCCGACCACCTACTGCCCCTGTTTGGGACTCTGCGTCTGCGTGCGGCAAAACAAACCTCATCCACCAAGTCCGCCCAGCCGCCTCTTTAGTGTAGGCTATCTCACCGAATAGCTGTTGTCGAGATTACCGAGTTCAGCGCCATAAAGCGCATTAAGCCGGCAAACTGGAGTCCGCAGTAGCAGCCATGTTGTAAGCAAACTGATTAAGAGATATGCGCACCACCTGCCAGTTCTTGCTATACCCAAGTCAAAGGACATACCACAGAAGGACAAACCCCCACCCAAAAAAAAGACGTAGCCGGTACAGACGCAGCACACAAGTGGCACCGAACATGCAGGCTGATTTCACCTATTCCATCCATAGTGTCCTCCCTCCACCGCCGAGGTATCCAAGCCAGGCGGGATACGGACTCGTCCCTGGCTATGTTGCGCCCATGATAGAGACCAACAATATCCTGACGCACCCTTCAGGGCCCGAGTACCAATTCCTAGTTGGAGAGGGCCTGTACACTCTCAAGGAAGACCTGCATCTTGCAACCCCCCCACCACATCCATCCGAAGCTCCAGTCATCAATCCGAATCCGCTCGCGACCACCCCCCAACCTGCTACTGCCGGCACGAGCCTTTCCATTGTCAACCTCGGTGTACGCCCGCCACCGCCAGGCTTATTTAGGGTTGGTTCTCGAGCATATGGAGTGCAGCAGAGCATCCAAGAACATCCAGATGAAAGCCGGTCGTCTTCCGGGGTACGTGGCAGCAGCGAGGGTGCTCGCGCCGCTTCCAGCGATGCCGGCGCCATCTTCTCCAGCACGCCAGCTTTTGGCGAGGGAAACACACTTTTAGCTCAAACAAACCACAAGGACAATAAACGAAAGAAGCCAAAGAACAGTATGACAAAAAGCAACTCTTCGTTTATCTCCCGGGTTATCGTCCACGAATCTCTACACAAGAGGTTAAACGATCGACCAGCAGACGGCCTCTTTGCGTTTGCCAACATTAACCGAGCCTTTCAATGGCTGGATCTTTCTTCGGCCTCCAAGGCCGACTACTTGACCAAAATTCTCTTTACTAAAGCGCATTGTCTCTGCCACGATGTCAACAGGTTGACCAAGAATTCGTCACATATCGATGTGATTATGGGCTTCTCTACCGGCGAAATAATCTGGTGGGAACCAATATCGCAACGGTATACTCGTTTAAACAAGAAGGTATTTGCCCCCGTAGCAGCACACTATCGGCCATTTGTCAAGCTGACACAACGGGCAATAGGGCATCATCAACAAGACTCCGGTATCCACAATTCAATGGATCCCTGGATCAGAAAACCTCTTTCTGGCAGCGCACATGGATGGAACATTAGTCGTGTGCGACAAGGAGAAAGAAGATGCCGGTTTTTCGCTGGAAGACGAGGCCGCCACTCGTGCCAGCGGGGACAGCAATGGTGTCCCTAACGGCAGCAAGGGTTGCAATTACACCAGCCAGATCCATGTGCACAAGTCTGTTCACTCCAAGAACCAGAAAACGAATCCAGTGGCTGTGTGGAAGCTTTCAAACCATCGTATCAACGCATTCGCCTTCTCTCCCGACCACCGGCATCTCGCGGTAGTTTCAGAAGACGGCACGTTGAGGATAATCGACTATCTGAAGGAAGAGTCAGTACTCCAGCAATGCATTTCCGACTCCCCTGAAGCTAACTTCGTCCTAATAGGTTAGTTGACCTTTTTTACTCTTATTATGGCGGCTTAATGTGCGTCTGCTGGTCCCCCGACGGCAAATATGTCCTTACCGGCGGTCAGGATGACCTCATTTCTATCTGGTGTATTTCTGAATCTGCCCTCATTGCCAGGTGCCAAGGCCATCATTCTTGGGTAACCTCAGTGGCTTTTGACCCCTGGCAGTGCGACGGAAAGAACTACCGCTTTGGCAGTGTTGGCGAGGACTGTCGGTTGTGCCTGTGGGATTTTAGTGTCGGCATGTTGCACCGGCCCAAAGCCGTAAGCCTTCCATTTTCCCTCAAACTTGGATAATTCGACCTGCTTGATAGCTAACCACTTGGGTGCAATTACAGGCATCAGTAAGACAGCGAGGATCCTCTTTCTCGTCCCGTTTCGTATCTCTTCAAAGGGCCGAAACGCAGAATACGACGACTAGTAATCGCCTGCGATCGGATTCAAACCTGTCGAGTTCGGGAGACGCGGGCGCTGCTGAGGAGACACAACCGGCGACCACCACTCTGGAGCAAAAGGTCGAACCGCATCCCGTGGAGCCGAGGGCGAGAACGGCCATGTTACCCCCTGTTCTGGTATGTGCTTGCTTTCTGATTTCCTACTACCCCTGGGTCTCCACAACTACAATGTGGGAGGGAAATCTAACGATGGGAAACTACACAGAGCAAAATAATTGACGACGACCCGCTTTGTTGGCTTGACTTTACCAAGGACGCTATCGTGACAAGTTGCAAGTCTGGTCATGTCCGAACATGGAATCGCCCGTCAGACGACTTGTCTACGCCGTCTCAGTCCCAGCATGGAAATGATAACTAGGAGACATGTTTTCATGTGCTTATCAGGTGCAATAAGGTATATGTTGATGTCATCCCCCTTTTTTTCTCCTCTTTTTTTTCTTCTTCTCTTTTTCCTTCCTTTCATCTCTCCCTGGGATTATTTCAAACGTTCAAGAAGTTTTGCATCCTACTGGCCATTTATTTTCTGGTGTTACGTAAGAGGGTGATTGATGGAGGTGTCGAATATTCACTTCTTGTGCATTGTATATACATTAGATCTGTAGCAAGCGATGAGGGAAAGGGGACGTTTTTGGAAACATTGTCAGTAGTAGATGGTGGTCAGCTGCGGTCTTATTGGATACCATCAAATCGTACTGGCGCAGTCAACGAGCATCAACTCGGAGTTCACAAATATCTGATGACGAATCTGTGAGTAATTGCTTTTCCTATGGTTCCTTCCGTAAACCTATCCTTCTCCGATCTATTGTAAATACACAAACCCGCATGCACCTTCAAATGCTACCTTAGATTCGAAACTATTAAGTTACCCAAGCCAGTAAACGCCACATTCGTCACACCACTGCAATTTTCCTTCCACACCACCAAACTCACATAAAGTCCTCCTCCTCCGTCTCCTCGGCGTCTCTCTGTCTCGACCCACTTCCACTTCCACTTCCGCTTCCGATTCCTGACCCACTCGGCGACACAAAAGGCGGCTGACCAATCGCCAACCTCGCCGCCTCATCCGCCAGCGTCAAGATATCCTTGAACAGATCCTCCGGTCTACCGCCATGGTTTCTGACAGCCTGCATCATCGGATGGTTCAGATGTCCACCAACACCGGGAACACCGGTGGCGGCGCTGTGTAGCGGCGGAAGCGCGTTCATGTACGCCTTGGTGAAACGCTCGTAGTCCGAGGGGGAGACGGAAATGAGAGGGGAGGCGAGGGAGGGGAGGGTGAGTGCGGAAGGAGGGGTTGGTGGAGGAGGGGCAGGGCCGTGGACGCGAGCCGGGGGTTGGTGGGTGTGGGTGTTGTTGTTATTGTTGTTGCTGGCGCTGGGAGCTGCTTGTGATGAAAGATGGTCGTGGTCGTGGGTGCTGCTGGAGGTGCTGGTGTTAGAGTTGGTGGTGATCCCGCTCTCGTTGCTAGCTGCGCTGGACGGGCGGGGGGGATATCGTTGATAGGCCGCCGACGGGTGGTGTTGTTGCTGCTGCGCAGAGGAGGGGGAGGAGCCGGGCTGAGCATTGTTGGACTTAACGCGAACCTTCACCTCGCCGGCGATACCGTCGACGCGAAGAGGGACAGGCTGGGTGAGTCCGCTGGCGTCGGGTGCGGGCTGGAGGTTAGGCGGTGGCGAGACGGCTACTAGGTCGTGCAAGACCTTGTTGGCCTCTGCAGAGCCGTCCATGAGCCACTTGAGGCAGATCTGCACGCGTTCGCGCGCGAACCTGTTATGGTCGTCGTAAACGCAGCAGTTCAGCAAGCTGATGATGCCATTGTGTTGGAGGATTTGCTTCTGGACCACGGGGTTGCCGGGGCCACTGCGTCCCGCTTCTGGCTGCAGGAGTCCAGCAATGATGTGGAGGATTTGGCCCTTGATGCCAGCCCAGGGGAACTTGTGAGCATGTTCCTGAATAGGGGGAGGAGGGGGTGGCGGGGGCAGATCGGCGCTGTCGTAGTCATGGGACTCCCGGTCATCGTCGTGAGGCGGAGGGGGGCGCCGGTGAGCAGAGCGGTCAGGGAGGTCAACCATGGGCTTCTTCGGCACGGCAGACTCAAGGCTCTTGAGGAGGACAAGAAGATCGAACACGGCCTCCCATTGAATAAGGCATGTCCTCCACTCGATGGGCTCATTTACCGTCATCAGCAGGTCGAGGAACTGCTGGAGACCGTCCTTAGCCCTTTCCATATCCCAGCTGTCGACAGGGAAGTCGACAGGATCGCACGTCTCATTGCGGATTTGCGCCTGAAGGTGCATGAGAGCGGTACATTCGGGTACTATGCGAGTGCGGAACTGGATGTAAAGAAACTGCAGGAGCTTGATATCCCGCAGATGTCCCTTGGAGCCGGGCTGTATCGGGTCCTGAAGACGCGTCCGGAACATGTTGTTCACCAGACGAAGCAGAACAGTCTGGGCGGGCGAGATAATGTCTTTGGGGATACGCAACGACTGCCACGCAAATGGGATCAAAGCACTGTGGTGGATGGCTTCAACAATTTGAGTGGTAAGCTGGAAAATGAGAGACTGCTCACTCTTTTCCCACACGGCAATGAACACCAAGATCTCACGCAACAGACTCCTGCCGCACTCGAGAGACAGGAACATTCTGCATCTCGTCTTCTGCAAGTTCTCACCAGCCCGACTGAGTGAGATGCCTGCACTATCGAGAATGCAGGATTTCACAATCATGTGAAGTGCCTCGATTTGCTTGGGGTCAAGGATGTTGGGAACTTCGGTGAGCAAGCCGCTCATGGGGCCTTCACCATACGACTCGTCATCGTCAACATCCTCGTCCTCGATCATGTCGTCGTTGTAGTCCGGTAGGTTGTAGTGGCGATCATCCCGAATTTCTCCCTCGGGGCCCTGATGCTCCGGTAACTGGACATCCTCAGCGGAATGAACGGAGCCCTCTTGATCATCGTTACGAAACGAATGAGGATACCGGTTTAGCGAGCTAAGCTTGCAACCCTCAATAAGCTGGTGAGCCTTTTCGACCGAAGGCATCGAAATGATCCATTCGTCGTAGTTGGGATCCCGCACCTTGAGCCACCAGGTGTCGACTTCCCTTGACACGCGACCGTAAAGCCTGTCTTGTTCAAACTTGTCTTGTTCGTCCTCCTTCCACTGTGGCGTGATCTTGGTCTCTTCGCCGATATCGTCGGCTCGCGGACGAACATGCGGCATCCAGTTCCAGGACAAGACGGAATTTTCGGGTAGACTTCCAGGAGGGGATCCGCGAGAGCCCAAGTTCCGTTGGTAATCAACCAGTAATTGCCGAGCCTTGTCGCACATCCTAGAGTTGCGCTCGATCCAGTTCTGGACCTCCATCTTGGCGACATCGGGGCGGAAGTCGGCGAATTGGGCACCAGCATCCTGCTGTTCCTCGCCAGACTCGTCATCAAACAAAACAGCACACCAAAATGACATCTTGTTCCGGTCATTCTTGGCGATCCAGTTGTGGGCTTGCTGCAGACAAGTGATGAGGAGTTTCTTATACAACTCGGTGATCTCGCTGAGCTTGTGGCGGGCAGTCTCCTCCAGGATGTCGCCATCGTAGGCCTTGCTAGTGACGTTGACACAGAGGGTGATGGTCTGATAGAGCATCTTGTCGAACTGGGCCGCAGCGCACAAATCCTGGGGAATCTCTGGTTCGGGGACAACCAGCAGGTTCCTTGCAATGTGCATCAACTTGATCAATAATTGCAGGTCCTCTTTAAGTGACGTGTAGTTTTTTGTGATGAGAGCGGTGCTCTCCTGGGGGGTGATGCCCTTTTCGGGGTCATTAAGGCTCTGCAGAGGACCAATCGACCGCGTTGTCAAACTAGGAAGCGCGGCGGCGAAGGACTTTGTGAGCCACACCCATACTTCCACACTTCTTGACAGCGTTTCTCTGTGATACGAGTTAGCGTCATGAGCTTTGGAGGAGACATGGTTTTCCTTACCGGACTTCTTTCAAGTTGTGTGTCTTTTCCAAAGTCCTGGAAATGAACTTGGTCACGTAGGACATGGTACGAGGACCGATAGCAGGATCCATCTTGAGCCACCCCTCAAAGCAGCTCATGGCCGAGGCAAAGCAGAGCTCCTCGACCGTGAGAGCAGGGCGATGGTCGGCTGGCGCAGCGCCCTCGGGAGCGGCAGGCGTCGCCATGATGATGTGCGGGCGACGAGCTTACACTCTGTCTTTCAACTATATTTTTGTGGTTGGAAAAAGCGTATTGGATAATGGCGTTGTTGGGGCTACGAGCACCTGGATTGGATGACCAGGGTTCTTTCGAATAGTGAGCGACAAGATGCTGATGATATATTGGGCCGATACCGTGTAGATATAAAAAAGAAACGTCGGTATATTCGCAGCAACAGAACAGCCAAATACACCAAAGCCCAATGAGTGACGTTGCAAAATGGAAAAAAGGCCCAAGCACAACTCGCTCGGTGCTCAGAAGTGAATTCAAGTGAATTTGAAAGAAGCTCTTGAAGTTCAGAGGAAAGAGCACTGGTCATTGGTCAGCGGCAGGCAAAGTGGTTGGCAAATGGATTTTCAAAAGTGGAGAGGCATCTTTCGAACTGACAAACCGCAGCGCCAAGACTTGCTGCTTGCATAAGACATTTGACCCCTGGCACATCGATGCCTCAACTCAAGGCCCCCCCGCATATCCATCCCTGTCCCTGAACCAATTCCTTATCTTATCGCCATCATCGAGGGGTCGGGTACTTATCATCCGAAGAAAAAAAAAACTGGAATAGGTGATACGGCAGCCGGGACGACGAAGCGATTAAAGCGTTAGCGACCAGGGAGGTGGTAATGCGGGGGTCTTAGTGCGTCTTCTTAGTGTACCTACATATCTTCTCTCTTTTCTGTCTTTGTCTGCTTCTTCGTACGCATTTCTTTCTTTCCCTGCCCGTCACTTAGAGTATCTAATCTAGTATTGGACCAATCGCCAAAATGGAGAACCTTCCCGCCACTTACGATGGTAAGTCCAAGTCGTTGCCGTCTTCCTGTTGCCTTGGTGGATGGATTACCATAGATATGGTTGCTCTCAGCGCCAATTGCCTTGTGTCGCCACGCGCTCAGGGAGGAACAACAAGATTGAACACCAGCTAAAACTACTTTCCTTCCACCAGGCCCCGTCCACATCGCCGTCATCGGCGGTACCGGCCTCTCCAAGCTCGAGGGCTACGTCCCTGTTGCCGCCCTTAACCCCACCACGCCCTGGGGCTCTCCCTCCTCTCCCCTCATGATCTTCGAGCACAATGGGCACGCCGTCGCCTTCCTCGCTCGTCACGGTCTCTACCACCAGCTGGCTCCCCACGAGGTTCCCGCGCGCGCCAACATCGCCGCCCTGCGCTCCATCGGCGTGCGCACCATCATCGCCTTCAGTGCCGTCGGCTCTTTGAGAGAAGAAATCAAGCCCATGGATTTCGTCATCCCCGACCAGATCATCGACCGGACCAAGGGCATCCGCCCCTTCACCTTCTACGAGGGCGGCGTGGTAGGCCACGTTGGCTTTGCCGATCCTTTTGACGCCGGCTTGGCGCAGGTTGTCGAGAAGTGCGCGTCCGCGATGAAGGGTGACGGTGTCGTGCTGCACAACAAGGGAACCATCATCTGCATGGAGGGACCCGCGTTCAGCACCCGCGCCGAGAGCCACATGTATCGCTCGTGGGGCGGTAGCGTCATCA